TGCGGTAGTAGAGGATGCCTGATGGGACAGGCGCTCGTGTATACCTACGGCTGCAGCCTCAAAGAAAGCCGCTGCTGTTGCTGTGCCTCCAGATGGGTCTACCGACCCGTCGGTAAAAACGCGTGTCCGCCCATCGTACTCCGCATCCAAGTGACTTTCCGTCAGCTGCCGAGCGGTTACCACTGCTGCGCTCTTCTTGATCCGCAGCCCTGGTATGCTGATATTAACCCTCAAAGGGTGAGGATCTGTGTGTAGTGCTGGAAGGGGCGCTAGCGGTCCTGGTGTACCCGCGATGTCGCCTAAAGTGCAGAGCTGCGCTCCCAGTTCCGAATCCGTACGTTCGGCGATGCTTATCAAGAGCGTGATGGTAGAGTCGCAGTTGCTCATTCGGATGAGATGTCCGAGCGCTCGTTCTTGCAGAAGGTTTTCAACGGTATTCATACCTGCTTCGGTAAGAGTGTGTCGTGACGATGCCGAACGGGGAACTCCGATGCAAATTCGTAGAGCTACGCGTTGCGCTCTCTCTAGGTTCTCGATCTGATTGCCGCTCAGTCGAATGAGCGGTAAGGCGTAGAGTGGGCGAGCCAGAATGAGACCCTTGTATAGCTGTAGTAGCATTTGTTCCGATGTGCCCCAGGTAGTACCACCAAGCGCGCGGAGGATATTTGTGTGCGTTCGCATCCTCTGGAGCACCACCTGCGTTGCTGGGCCCCAGGATAGCCTCCAGTCCAAGGTGAGTCCTAAGTACGTGACTGTCGATCTTCTCCACTCTCACCGGGACATCTCCGATGAACAGGGTCGGTTGGAACTTTGAGGGTCTCCTTGGTGCGTAGCATAGAGCAACAGTCTTTTCTGCCGATGTTGTCAGACCCAGTTGATGCAAGTGGTACACAGTGTTTGTAAGTGCTCCCTGGAGGGCACGTGCCATCCGTTGCCTACGGTAGCCTGGGGCCGTGGACCAGAGCGCCACGTCGTCCGCATAGACAGCCATGCTTATCGGGAGTGCTGGTTCCTCGCCTACTCTTGCTGCGGCTGGGAGTGATGCAATCGCCAGTGCAAACAGGAGCGGACTGACTACGCTCCCTTGGGGAACGCCATGGTCGACTCGTCGGGGCTTGCTCAGTGCTCCGCCGACCTTTACGCACATGGTGCGTTCAGTGAGGAATGCGCAAATGTAGTTAAGAGGTCGTCCACATACCCCGAAACGACGCAGGGCTGAGATGATGATTCGGTGCGGGAGGGCGTCGAAGGCTTTGCGGACGTCTAGGAATACGGCCATCGCCGACCAACCTTGTGCTTTGGCCTCCTCCAGCGAGCTGGTGATGTCACCAATTGCGTCCGCGGTGCTCCTGTGGTGGCGGAACCCCGAGAAGCAGTCTGGCAGAGCCCCGGCCGCCTCAAGGTGGTAGACTAGGCGTCGTAGCACCATTCGTTCCATCACTTTGCCAAGGCATGATGTCAATGATATGGGCCCATAGGAGCTTAGTTGGTCTTGGGGTTTCCCGGGTTTCAGTAGTGGTACCGCTAACAGTAAGTCGTGCTACTCTAACATCGAGGCGAAGAAGCAAAGAAGCAGCAGGTCTCATTAACACGACGCACCCTGCCTTACTTCCAACTGTTGTTGCTACACTGCTCTTCCTTCTCCCAACCCTCGTCTGCCTTTTTGTATAAATCTTCATTATTTAGTGTTCGCTCTACCTAACCCTTTCAACCGTTTGTCAGCCTGATTATACGAGATTCCAAAACTTACAAACTGCGGCTTTAGACTGTAGGGAGCTTGTTTTTACATTTGTTGTTCGTTGAAGGCTTTTTTTTTTTTATAGAGGGCTTGACTTGCACTTTGTTTTTACACCTCTATCATGACCCTCCACGCGTTGTCCTCTCGTCCTGGCCTGTGGAGCCGTTCCGAGGCGCGCAGTGCTGCTTTGCATTGAGAACCTGCAACAGTCTTGTCTACAATGGAAAAGGAAAGGCTGCCGGGGCCTTGTTACGAAAAATTCTTTAAACAGATTAGCAGCAGTGTAAAAAATATAATTGTGAGGTGCAAAACTCTCCGCACCGTCTCTGAAAACAAATTCAACAAACCGAAAGGCGACCTCCAATTTGCGGAAACATTGGCAGGTTAGCAACTTTTTTGTCACTTTCAATAGTACTTAGTTATAAAAAAAGTAATAATAATGGCTCGTCTATATCTTCCAGCTGAAACACGCTCAAGTAAATCATGAAATTGAGGCGTCCAAGAGGCCGCAGTTCTGGAATAATTCGCGGATTCTAATTTTCGCGACGCGGTGGGGTAGCACTATAGATTCAAATGTGTTTACATTTTCCGGAATTGCTCGCGGGACTTATTTTTCGCGAATTGTAGGCGAATCGCGAAATTCGCACAAATAAAGTCGTTTACAGTGCATTATGAATTTTCGAGGTTGTTCTTGCTATGCTAAAATCAAATCAGTCTTCTTTATGAGACGCATGACATCGATACAATCACTGCTATCCTAATGATTAGCTGTATGACAATCCTAATTTATTATCTATATCAGGAGCTTTTTGGGTGTTAGCGTGCAGTGAATTAACCCAGAATCCCTGGCAATAGAGTTGCTGCTATTGTGACACTAATTTTGTGAAAGCGACCACAGTTAGCGTGCTACGGTTACCCACATCCGGCATGTTACAAGTCCAAAGACAGGGAGAGGCAGCGAATCATCGTGGCTGAAATGTTTTCGTAAGTTGTCGTATTCTTTAAATGTTTGACGTCGTTTACAAGTTTCTCTTATTAGCTATTTTTACGTGAGTTTTATGATACCGTACTGCCGCATATTTGTTTTCTTGTATTATTTTTAAGTTTATCTTTTGTTGGTTTGACTTGGATATCGTTTGCATAAGCTCCAAGGAGATTTTTTTTTTTAATAATAAAATTTATTCAGTAGTGCAGGTATAGCCAGTTGAGTATCGGGTCCGATCAAAGCCATCAGGGACTTGTGGGACCAGACCCTTCACTGGAAAAGTACAAAAAAGGAAGTTCGCACGGAATAACATCACGTGCAGGAAAAAAAAAAGCAAATAACATACAGATGATTCACTTGACAGGATGTAGTCGGAATGCTTGTGTCAGTGACTTGAATGAAGCTGTGAAGATGAAACTATAGCAAACGTTGTCTTGATCACTGTGTCAATTACAATCCTTAAAGTCATAAAAGTAAAAAAAAAAAACTCAGGCATGAGTATTTTTAAACACTGTAAGAGTACATTCGAAGACACAGTTCTTGAATTCATAAGTCTTTCTCTCAAATATTTCATATGTTCAGTAAGAGAAAAAAAACAAAAACACTTACTACTAGAAAGAAAATCATTCAGTCAACGGGTCGAAGAGAAAAAAATACTTCACGCAATAAATGCAGTCGTCATTTGACATGTCCAGCTATTACCACAAAAGGCACGTACAGCACCATACTACAAAAGAAAAGGAAAATAACATGGGAAAACGTCACTATCTAGCCACATCGGCGAACATGTTTCTCAGGGAGGTCTTCAGCATTTTTTTTTAGGTAATGGCAAGCAGAGCAGCTGGAACGTAGTTAAAAGCCTTTGGCACATAAAAGGAACGCATGCTTTCGCCATAGTGAGTTCTCACTCGAGGAGATTGAAAACGCAGAACAGATCTAAGCTCGCGAGATGGACTGGCCGAGACCTTAAACTCACTATCCCAGAAGTGGCGCCAAATTACTGTTTGAAGAAAGAGTGAATGAAAACACGGTGGCTTAAGTGAAGCAAACAAGCTCGTACTAGATGACATGTGTGTGTTGTATGCTACACTCTTCAGAATTCCCTTTAACGTACGATCAATCCTTAAGTGCCAAAAGAGGGGACAGTTAAAAAATACGCTTATGCCATACCTTAGTGTACTATAGGCTAACGCGTGCATAATGCTCTTTCTAATTGACAAAGGTAGAAACGATTTGATATTGTAAAGCAGACATGAGACAGTTCTTAATCGTTGACATATATATGACATGTGAGAGTTCCATGAGAGATCACTGTCGAAGTGAAGACCTAAATACTTTACGGAGCTAACATATTCAACTGGTGTACACACCGCACCTGTGAATTTTGTCGCCATTTATTTTTAGTTTTTGAGAATATAAGAATGTAGGAGTTCATTACTCCAAACTATTAAGTTCTATAATCCATTTAACAAATTTCATAAAAGGAAAGTACAATGCATGGCATTTATACAGCGGCCATATAACTCGTTTACAGTTATATGGCCGAAAGTGGGTAACTCTCAGAAATAAGTAATTGTAAAGTAATTGCATTACTTTTAAAAAGTAATTTGTAATTGCAATGAACTACTTTCGCGTAGTAGTAATTGTAATTGTAGTTAAACTACTTTGGGAGCTAAGTAATTGTAATTGTAATTAAATTACATATTGAAAGTAATTTACCCATGTATGGTCTCGAGTAAAATGAGTTAGCGTAGAGTGCGGCCCTGAACGTAGCTCTCAGCTGAGCTAAGTCAGCCTTAGAAACTAAGGTTAACTGCTACACAGAAATGTCTATGCCGGTCTGGTCGCATTCAACACAAAATGCTTTTGCGAGGAGCTGCACCATGGCGCCACTGTCTTGTCGCTTACTTCTGGTTGCTACAACACACAACGAGGAGGAAGCGTCAGCTTTTGGATACAACATTTAACGTCAAAATCAATGCCGCCGCTGCTCAGTGTTGCCCGTAGAGCGGCAATCAGGACGTGTAAGCTTCAAAATTTGTTTTCTCAAAAGAAAGTAAATAGTTTAATGAGATATGTCATAAACATATTCAAAAGTAAATATTTAGTGCACGCTGAATGTTTTATAAGGATCGATGGCCATTGATATTTCGCAGGAGCTCTCCTTTGAGGACGTTGACCCTACCATTACGAGAAAAAAAAAATGCGCTGTCGAGTTTCGAGGCTATATTTGTTAATCTTTCTCTTTTAGGAGGACGTTCCCGTTAAACTTTGATGATGTGTCGCAATATAAGCAACATGCGGCTCGCACTTTTCGCCGTAGTGCTTATTCTACCGGTTTTTGAAGGAGGTAAGTCGTATACAGAGGTTGTTGTTACACTTTATGACGATAAGGATGGCGCGACGGCTTGGGGACGACGGTTTACAAAGGGGGGGGGGGGGGGGGTATAAAGGTATATAGTTATATATTTAACAAAAAAATAGTCAGAGTGCAGGCGAGCTGGTGTAAGTTGAACATGATTGTAAACCTGAGACTCCTCTTCTTTTACTACCTTCTGTTGTGTTCTCTTCCTGCCCCAGTCTCAGGTTTACAATCATGTTCATATTTAACAAATATGACATTTTTTTTCTGCTTTATTTTTTCAAAACACTTTTTTTTGCCAGGTTTAGTCCTTGAAGAAACACCTGTCACTGAATACCACCGCTGCTCTCTGAACGTGACTTGATATTGCAACCAATGCTTTAGAACATCAGGTGTTTGACGAGGTTGGAACAAGTAGTGTTAATTCACACCTGACCAAAAGGAAGACAGCGCATCGCATAGCCTTTAAAGGTGCCTTGAAGAGGTTCATGAGATCGTCTAAATATGGCGATAACTCACTGTCTGCGCTCTAAGCATCCTGGAAATTCGTAAATGGTAGCGATGCTCCGCCGATTTCCCTGTTTAAAAAGCAAAGATTGAACACGCCGAAGTCATCTCTGGTGATGGAAGGAGCATTGTTCCGGAAGCCGGGTAGACATGTGACCAATAAAAACGTGACATATCGTTGAGATTGCAAACGCTGTTTTTACAAAATCTGTATGCTTTTGTATATGATAAAAGCAAATAAGAGAGTAGGCGAAAAATATTAGCTTTTCGCCGAGGGGGAACGTATTATTGCAATAATCTTATCATAAAGACAGCACCGCGTTTGTCTGTCTTTATTTTTTTTTTTTGTCTTCAGCGGTAGTGATGTGTTTGATCGTCAGCACTCGAGCGCGCGCGTTGGGTTGAATCGTGGTCCGGGCTGCAAGGGCAGCAAACCGCGCGCATTCGAGATATCACTCCGCGATTCCACCGGTCGGTAGGCGCCAGGATCCTTCGCTTGCCATTGGCTGAAAGTGGTCCTGGTTTCGGAACACGCATTTCCTATCGTCAAAGACGACCTCTGTGTTGAAATATTTGATTGTATTTTAGTAGAGAAATAAGCCGCATATCGTAATGATTTAGAGATTTCTTAAATACTTAGAGCCAGGAGTGAGTTATTGCCATATAAGAAATCTCAGAAACCTCCTCAGGCAATGTTACTAAAACACTCAGATGGGAAACTCGCCGTCGAAACCCTGGGCCGCTGGCATCCACCGAGACCGTGCTAAATACGACAACAGCGCTACTCTTTATCATTTGTCTGTACTGTGGTCACCTTGAGCTTTTAGAAAGCATGTTTTTGCGTAAAAACAAACAGAAAAGACTCTTTTTGTATGAAATTTATTGGAGTCTAGTCCAAAGTCCGCAATGCCTCAGCGGTGCTTTTAGGTAGCGCGTCCCGACCTAGGTGCATTTTAACTTCGGTAGCAAGACGTGGCGCGTCCGCTGGGCAGACGGGGGTGGCACCCCTGTAACCTCTTCCGCTCTATCGATTTCGGCGCCAAAATGGACGATTAAAGCCAAAATAGACATCACGTGCAGTTCCTCGAGTGGCCGCTGCGTGAGAAATGGCGGCGTTGTGTTCGCCATTAGCTCGGTTCTCCAGGACAGATCGGGGCCACTTTTTCAAGCAGTCTCTATGGCAGTTTCCCAACTGAGAGGTTTAGTAACGTTGTCCTCAAGGTACATAAAATTGAAAGAATAAAACACCAGTCCTCAGGGTACCTTTAGCGGTCTCACACAGGCTGCACCGCTAAACTGCTAATATTTTGTCTATACAAAAGCGTTCGAGGAAGTGAATTTTGTTGGATGTAGCAGATGAAGCTGTCGCGCCCCCCCGGGGTTTTGCGGTTTTTGAGACTGTAGAGATGGTTAAGCAATCAGTTATTAAAAATGTCCCTAATGTCTAGTGCTAAAAATAACAGATGATGATGTTTATTGATATCATCGGATGTTTTGTGCAGGTCACCCGATTTGCAAATCTGACATTAGAATGTTTTATTTATTAACTTGAAATGAATTTTGTTACGAATAAAAAATATTGACAAATGTAGAACTTAATATCAAAGTGTAATTAAGCAAACTTGTGACTACAATAGTAGAAAGGTACCAGCATTTTACGCAATGCTAACGCAACGCACAGTGTATGCTATGATAATGCAATTATTGCAAAGGTGCAAGCGAGCTGGACAAGAATAACGATGACAATCACTGGAGAAGTGGAACAAGGGGACAAATGAGAAATACAAATCTCCAAACTATATTTTGAAATTTATGTTTTTCCGTTGTCCACCTTTGTTCCCCCTCTCCAGGGATTATTATTAGTGCTAGCGTTTGCTTATATACGCAGTACTAGAACTCACAATATTCTCCTTGCTTCGCTGTACCTTCATAATATTTTTTTTCAGAGGGGTTTGGTGTTGATAACTGCTTTCGTGCTCTTCTTCGGAGTGGAAATAAATATTGCGAACGCTTTGGATATGGCGTAAGTCTTGCGAACAATCAAAAACAAATATATGTTTCGATAATGCAAAGGGTCTTTCTATTTTTTTTTATAACGCGAAGACTCATAATTCAATAACCGTTTGTACTAAAATCCTGGCTTTAGCATGAAACCCCGTAATATTTTAGAAAGCACTCACAATGTTACCAAGTTAGTGGCACATCGCGTAAACACAGGGACACATAAGGGGCCAATACACGGCGATCTTTCTGGATCGTCATTTCTACTGGTCTCAGGGGGAGCAAGTAATTTGACAAGCTCGAAAGCTGTAGGTATTCAAGAAGGGAAAATTTCTCTACTTAAAAGTTTTGAAGGGTTTAATTGTGGAAACTTTTTCTTGCGTAAAAATATTTTAGAATTCTTAGCACAAAGAAATACCTGAGGTTTCTGATGCTCATTCGTTTCTTTCCGCTAAGGTGACGCTTGTTTCTCACTAGCTTAATATCGCACATTCCAAGGTTATTTAAGACTTGGCGCAATCTCACAGAGCTCTATGGTGCGCTTGACGACCACCGCCGTCATTGATCAACCCACGCACTAATAGCCCTTTCCTATAGACCGATACGCTGTTTACAAACAAGCCCGCGTTTGCCCACACAAGGCGTGCGCAGAAACCGAATTCGCGTGAAGTGAAGCGTCTGCGCATGCGCAGTGCCGTTAACAGCGCCACCGCAGCTGCGTGACGTCAGGGCCGCGTGTTGGTCTACTCACCAGCAGGTGGCCATGACGTCACGCAGCTGCGGTGGCGCTGCTGTCGTATCGGCACATCCGTAGACACTGACACGGATCTGGTTTTTTGCGCAGTGCCCACCCCTGGTGTGGGCAAATGCTAAGCTGTTTGTAAAGAGATCTCACCAGCATATTGCTGACAAACAAGTCCGCGTGTGTTGTGGGGACTGCGTTAGGGCCGCCGTACCGGTGTATACACCTCTCCAAGAAACACCCGGCCACAAAACAAAAACAAAAAAAAACCTTTTTCGAGCCCATTTGAGCTATAATGTCTCAATGGCGTTCCTGTTGACCCTAACCGAGTAGACTTGACTTGTATAGAAGCAGCCTGCGTGGGCCAAATATCAGATATTGCTGCCGGCTAGATTCTCGCCTTTCGCCACACTTTTTGTGTTTCATGGTGTATGCATCATCATCATCCTCATTTATTATTCCTTGAAGGCCCAAGGGGCATTATATAAAGGAGTGAACACTTAAAAAAAAAAAAAATTATCTACAAAAACACGCTGTAATCTAGTTATGGGTTAGAAAAAATAAGCTAATGGCTGCAGAAAATTTCTTAGTATCAGATAAGGAAACAATTACGTCAGGCAGTGAGTTCCAGTCGTCAATGGCCAATGGTAAAGTAGACATTTGGTGAGTGACGGTGGATGATGAAATCGGACGGAGTTTACAAGAATGGTCGAGACTAGGGAAAATGCGGTAAGGAGGTGATAACAAACTTTTTCTGAGATGACTGTTGTAATAAAAGATCCGATGAAGAAGAGAAAGACGAGACATCCTGCGGCGGTGAGAAAGAGTGTCAAGGTTAGCTGATTGGCGAAATCCTGATATGGTTGCGTAAGGGGAATAGTCCGAATAAATAAAATGGAGGGCTCTGCTTTGAACGGATTCCAGGTTGTTAGGTATCCCTGCCACGGTGACCATATGGAAGAAGCGAATTCTAGTTTAGTTCTGATTAAGGTAGTATAAGCTAGTTGTTTTACGGGGGATGTAGCTTGTCTGAGGTTACGGCGAAGAAATCCGAGAGTGCGGTTAGCATCGGCGGTGACAGATGTTATATGGGTGGTCCATGACAGGTCAGCTGTCAGAGGAATTCCGAGATATTTATACGATGAACAAGCAGTTACTGGGATGCCAGAAAGGTGGTAAGAGGAGGATAGAACATGTGAGCTGCGATAAAAAGATAGCGATTTACATTTATTATAGTTTAAAGCCATTTGCCATTTATGACACCACTGAATAATGACTTGGAGATCGTTTTGCAAGATTAGTTGATCGTGGCGTGAATGAATCGGTTTATAGATGACACAGTCATCGGCGGACAAACGTACTTAAGAAGTAATGCCATGGTGGGGATCATTAATGTAGATTTAAAAAAAGGGGGCTAAGAACGCTTCCCTGAGGGACGCCAGACGTTACTGTGCTTGTGGTAGATTTGATAATGTTAATAGAAGTGTGCTGTTTGCGATTAATGAGGAATTCAGAAATACAATTGACTACAGAGGGGTGAAGATTAATATCTTTTAGTTTCATTAAAATACGTTGATGAGGGACCTTGTCAAACGTTTGGGAAAAGTCAATGAAGATGGCGTCAGTTTGAACATTGGAATCGAAATTTGAGTAAACGTCGGTTAGAAATGCTGTTAGGTGAGTTTCGCATGAGTCGGACTTGGGAAATCTGCGCTGGTGCTTAAAAGGAGGTTATGAGGGACTAGAAAGTTTATTCTTGTTAGAATAGAGAATGTGCTCTAAGAGTTTGCATGAAACGCTGGTGAGCGAGATGGGACGATAGTTGCTGATTAGTTGGCGATCGCCTGTTTTATGAACGGGTATGACGTTAGCAACTTTCCAATCGGATGGAGCTTCCGAGAGTTTAAGAGATTAAGAGATTATGTTGCAGAGGAAAGTGGAAGAAATGTGTTTAGTGTTTATTAATACCTTAGACTTAATTTGGTCATCTCCGGAGCTGGAGGACACCTTTAGTTGATCTATAGCCTTAAGTACGCCAGTACGGTCAATTACGATAGGATCCACAAGAGGGTGAATGGGTTGGCACGAGTCGGGAATATTTAGCAAGGGCTCTTTAGTAAAGATGGAGCAGAAGAAATTATTAATAGCAAGAGCGCCACGTTTTTCAGAAAGTGGAGGTCCGTCGTCATCTACAAATTGCAAAGGAAGTGAAAGTGACGGATTGATTATTTTCCAAAACTTGTTTGGTTTGGTTGTTAGTATGTTGGGGAGGTCGATACCATAGAATTTGGTTTTGGCGCGATTTATTGCGGATTTATAAGCCCTAGCGCATTCGGAGTAGGCGTTCCAAGAAGCCGTAGTGTTGACAGCCTTAGTTCGCTTATAGAGTTTTTTTCTCCTTTTGGATTGACTATGAATTGTTTTATTGTACCAAGGGTTAGTGTTATCAGATATAATACGGGTCAGTGGAATAAAGCGTTCGATTAGGTAGATCATTTTATCTTTGAATAGAGTCCAGTTTTTATTAACCGTTTTTTCCCAAAACTTATCTGAGAAAGTATGATAAAAATCTTCGAGGTTTGAGTTGATTGATGCGTAATCAGCTCTTGCGTAATTGCGAATGAATTTGCAGTAATGTGATCTACGAGGAGCAGAGAGAGAAAGAGTTAAATCGATGACGAGATGGTCACTAATGCCGGGTAAGTACGTGATGTTACTGAAGAGTGAGTGGTCTTGGCTTAAGCGTAAGTCAAGTGTATTGCTACAGTGATTAGTAATCCTAGTAGGCATGGTGTTTACATTTGGGCGATGGGTAGAGCTGCGGGCGAGAAGAACGGACGGTCGGTTTGAGCGGCGAGGGCTTTTTGGCCCTAGAGAACATTGGGAAGGAAAGAACGGAGCGGGGGCGGCAGAGGGGATGGAAGAATAACAAGTGGCTACGGTTAACATATGCTCACAATGTCGAGGTCGTGAGTTCCTTCGAAGAGGGTGCGGATGTGACGGAGTGAAAATGTCAGGTTAAATGGTCTACTGCGCATACCCACCGCGCAACGCATTAGGAGGCCGGTGTTGTCTGTGTGACGTCCCTCCCGTGACCAAGTTTCCGTGACATCGATATCCAAGCTTTGCACTCCATTTCAAGCTTGGAGAAAGACTTCGGTCTACGTGAAAACTGTAAACTATTACGTGAGCGACAAAGCGAATGCTACTGGAATGCTTGTTTTATTTTACGATGAGGTTAAATGCCGCGGCCCGCTCAGCCAGGTTAATCGACAAGGCTCTCAGCTCTCGAAAATATCTTTGCAAGGAAAGATAGCCGAAAGGCATGCATATTTGTCGCCCGGAAATGACGTGATTCACGAGATCCACGACAGGACTCGTATATGGAATTTAGCAAGTGTGACCATTCGAACAATGCAAATCGCAAGTTCGTCTGCTTCTAGCACTGGGGTAGCGATGATGTCAGAACGTCGAGTGTTTATTGGCTGATGTTAGTGAACTTGAAGGCATCTAGCACTCTAAAAAGAAAGGTATCACCTTGTACCCTTTTTAACCATATAATGCACCCCAAAACTTTAGTTCGACGTAAAGCGAACTATAGTAGAACAGACGGCCCCAAATTTTACGAGGTGCTTGATAACGGTGCGATGTAACTTATTAAATAACTAAAGTAAGTATCAAAGAAAACTAAAAGAAAACACTGAAGTTTGGCAGTAGGGCCAAAAAAACCCCACTTACTTTTTTTTTTTTTTGGTAGTAAGTAGCACGTGCTTTAACTATTTTAATAAGCTGTACCACACGGCTATCAAGCCTCTCGAGAAAGTTAGTGCCGTCAGATCGACGTCAGTGCGCTGTACGTTGAACTGAAGTGTTGGAGTGTATTATATGGGACAAGGGGTGTAATGATACACCCTTTTCTTAGAGTGCAATCCTTTAAATCAAAGCCAATTAGCGTCGTTTTGAAGTCAGCGCAACTCAAACACGATACTAAGAGGGCGGGGGGGGGGGGGGGGGGGAGGTGAGGGGGAGAAATCGTCCCCTCTAAAACGTCTTCGGTCGTGTTTTTGTATTGTTTGAAGAATGTGGGAGGCACTCTTGTTCACTGGAAGTGGCAAGTTGACTTCAACGATGTGCACCAGCCACACCTCACAGAATATTTCAAGTTCCGTCATCTCTCTCTAGAGGAGAGTGTTGCCCGTCACTTTGAGGTCTTTTTGGTGTAGACGGCACCATGTGACATGGTGGCGACATAATATCCTGGGCTCCGTCCGCCGCGGATTCTATGGTCGCCCCCGCTACCTAAATTATTGCCCCCCCCCCCTTTCCCCGGCTAGAGTCCTAGAACCAATTTTTGGGACCTCCCCCCCCCCCTCTTAATATCGTGTTTTTTTTTCAACGACCGGCCACCCCATGGTGCAGCGTGTCCGTCGACGGTAGAGAGTCCTCATACCTTCATACACACCAACGAGGTTGATACACACACGCGCTTTTGCGTGAGTCGTAACCTCTGAGCCATTTTTTCGTCTAATCGTTTTTTTTATGAATTTTGAAGTGAGCGCAATCCGGTGTCACTCAGCTCGGGAACGTAGCTTGGGCTAATGCATAGACGCCATTTTACCGCCCAAGTCACGCACCGAGTGCGCGAGAGCGTCACGCGCTGGCACATTCAGGGCAACAATGGATGTCTTCACCCTGAGACAGACAGACATGCAGGCACCCTAGTCGTCGGGAGCCAGAGCTGCGCGTTCATCCCCGTAGCGCCCTCTTTCCCGCACGGCATGTTGATCCCGCTCGTCACGTGACTGAATTCGGCGAATAGCGGCGCCGCGCGTTCGAGCTGCACGGCACGTTCTAAAATAGGGGAACGTACGCCGGGGCCGCGCGACGTCTACTCTCTTGCACGGCACTTGATCCGGTTCCTCGCGTGACCGGATCTCGGCGAATAGCGGGGCGGCGCTGCGTGGAAAACAGACTCGCAACTCTGGCTCCCGTAGGGAGCCTATCCAGGAACTCTAGTCGACGCTGTCGACGCAAATACGCTGCAGAGGAAATAAGAGAGTGAAGAATGATGTACATGCTTTCGCATTCACAACTCATAAGAAGTGCTTAGGTGTACCTCGAGCCTTTTCTGTGACATTATATGTCGATGCATTCCAGAAATATAATGGTTGGATTTTTGGCTTGTGCGAGCTCGGATGCGGAGACCAGAGGGTGCCGTTGCCAAAGAAAGCTTGCCCCAACGGTACTATGCACGTAAGTCACAAGAAAATGTTCCCGCCGCCTTCGCGCTTTTTTGTTGTTGTTATTTTGCGAGTATTAGTTATATGACAGATGCCCTGTTTTATATATTTTTCAAAAAGTTATTTATCTTTGAATTTTGCTATACTAAGGCCATTACACAATTCTGTTGTTTTGTAATAGGACAAAAGGTACTTATTAGGCTCTCAATTTCTTCTTTGCAGAGCTAGTACACGAACTATTGTTTCTTTTTTTTACATTTGCAAGACCATGCGTCCTTTCATCGAATCCCCTTAAAAAGACGTAGTCAGTCATCTTTTTTATGTATATTCAGATGATCAGATATTTTCTTATATCCAGTCTCCTGACGGTACATAGCGCAAAATAATTTTAACGTGCAACAACTACATAACGTTGTTGACAATTGTTTTATGAAATCGATGACACCTCTGATATTATACCCAACACCACATGATCATGTCGACTACTAAAGAGGCTGGTAGGAACAGAAAACTAACGATCCAGCTACAATTCCTGAAGCCTCCTAGTGTTGCGTTTAGGCAAACAACGATCTCGACCATGACTGGTAGACATAGATGCGGAGGCAATGGCCACGTGCAATTCCGTCCGTCGTTCAGCCTGGTGATGAGGCCAATTTCTGCTTAATATTTACGTCCGGTCCCGCCAGTTGGTTTGCTGCAATAAATATTAGAATATGAAAATATAATTTCGAAAGCATTAACTGCCCCATGGAACGAAGCCGGAGTTATCTGATGTCTGTAGCAGCGAAAAACGGCACCTAAATTGCCATTGACTGAGCGAAACGGCCAGTAAATTGCTTTTAAATGAGCGAAACGCACATAAACTCCCATTGGCTACAAGCGGACGCGCCTCAGCAAAAAATGAAATACAAAGCAGAGCAGAGCAACGCAGATGTAGCGTCACGGAAGCCGTGGAGCCGGCGGAGGTTCCGCGCCTGCGCAGTGGGGGAGCGTGACGTCACCCCCGGAGCGCCGTGTGACAAACGAAGACGTGGCGCGCAGCTTGCAGGAATGAACTTCGTGTAGGAATGCTTTGGCATTCCTACACGCAAGCAGTCTAAAGTGTCTTCGTTTAATTTTATTACATAATAATATAAGTAGTAAAAGTGATTGTATATTTATCAAAAATAGGAGCAGGAATAAAAGGAAGAGTATTAGCGGTCGTAGCAACATTAGCAAAAGTAGCAGATAGTGATATTATTATTTAAAATGCCTTAAAACGATAGGGAAGAAATTATATAGGGACAGAATACATAGAGTGCAGTTTTTACGAATGTGCTGTTCGTGTTCTGTTAGGTTTTTCATTCTTTCTCAAGATTTTATACTAAACCAACGCGCTCACCTCCAAAGGAACAACATTAGGTTGTGACGTTTTTCTTTTTACACAAACATACCTGTATTTGTGCTATCTTTTTGTACCTGAACGCAATGCCACTCACCATGAAGCGTTTTTGTCGCTGTGTAATTTCAACGATACGTTTGGACTTTTTCTAACTTCCCCCTCGCCAAACATAATGACGTAGTTACGGGTATCGCATTGTTGTCGTAGTCGCGGGATTATCTTTAGTAACTATATTCAGATGCAGCTCCTAGATTGCACACGAGTACAGCGGGAGCACACGGCTTGGTCGCATGACAGTCAATGTGTAAACAAGTATTCGGGTGGTGATTGGAATCAAATCGCTGCAGCGACGGGAACAGCCGACCCCTCACAACGACTGTAGCTTAGCACGTGCAATGTGCTTGCCAACCCCAGTGCACGGCTGTGATGAATTTTGGGCGGCATATAATCGGCACCATGCAGAGCCGTATACTGAGAGAGTTTGGCCATACATTGGTTTGCATAGGAGAGCATCTCGGTGCCAACCGCAGGTCGCGAAAGAGTCCCTAGCGGTGATCGTGAGCTTTAAAAATGCGACTCGACTGATTTAAACCGTTTTAGCGTCGCTCGAGTAAGAAGGTATGACTCCTAGTGACTGAAAACTTGGCGCATGTGAGGTTGTCGTCACGTCCATATTCAACGGTAGAATAAAGGAACGTGCGTTCCAAACCAGGGCGGACTCGCTAGAAAGAGCGTCTCAGCTGAGACTGTGAAAAAAAAAAAAAACACTGCCAAAGCCAGCGCACGAGCCCAGCGGAACCGTCTCAAGCCGAGCCGAGCAAACCGCGTCTCAAGCCGCTCCAGCCTTTGCACTGTTAAAATCAATCAATCCATCAATCAATCAATCTTTATTATACAGTGCCCAGGAACAACCCTGAGGTCTTGGTGCTGGTACACTGGTGGATAAAATAAAAAAAGCAAGAAAAAACATTGTACACATCTCCGCAAGAAAGACGATACATTTTTAAGCATAATACTAGGTAGTGAACGAGTAATTAGTAGAATAGAATAAAAACGAGGCAGTAACAGTAGAAACGGAACACAAGACCGTACGACAACAAGTGCACCACCAGAAAGAACGGCATGCAGATGACGAAATTCAGACATAACAGAGCCATTCAGCAATGCTCATCCTGCACGGGCAAGTTTTTAATAGAAAGGACAAACGTCCTGTAGCAAGGGTGGAAAATATAAAGTCTTTCAGAGTAATGATTCGAACGCTGTGCCATTCTCACCATTGGGTTTACCGGACTAAACGTTCTAGACACATAAAAAGATGACCGAAGACGAGTAGGCACACGTGGAACCCTAAGGCACAGCTCCGATAACAGGCTCGGAGAATTGATGAGTCCATGCAGCGTTTTAAACAAAAATAGTAAGTCCGCGTTCTCCCGACGCCGGTGCAAGCTAAGCAAACCAACACGCTTTAACGCAGACTCATATGTTAAGCAGTGAACATCCTCTTTCATGTAGCGATGTTTAAAGATAGAAACAAACTTTTTTTGCACACGTTCGATCACCAAGGAGTGACTTTTAGAAATTCCATTCCAGACAACTGAAGCATATTCTAACTGCGACCTAGATAGCGAACAGTATAACGTGATAAAAGCACTAGGGTTTTCGAACTCCCTGGTTAAGCGAGAGGCAACGCCCAACATTCGCAATGACGAGTTAACCACCCTACCAACATGATCAGAGAAACGCAACCCAGAATCAACCATGACTCCGAGATCTTTCATTACACTTACTCGAGACAAAGTCTCTCCTTGAATATTATATGCAAAAGAGATATTGTGAGTTTTCCGAGAGAGCGTCATGACCTTGGTTTTGGACGGGTTCAAGAGAAGGTCGTTTTCAGAGCACCATCGGTAGAAAGAACATGCATCTTCCTGGAGCTTAGCACAATCATGTTCAGCAACTATTTCTCGATAAATTTTTATATCGTCAGCATATTGCAAAAATGAAGAATTTAAAACAGCAAAAGAGACGTCATTTACAAAAATTGTGAACAGAAGGGGTCCTAAAACAGATCCTTGAGGAACGCCAGAGCGAGCCTTGTATAACGAAGGGTTCATGTTGTTGACCCGGACATACGCCTCTCTCTTTGACAAATAGCTTTTTCACCAGTCGTGTACTGAGCCACATACTCCATAGGAGGAAAGTTTGGATAAAAGAATAATGTGATTGACTACGTCAAAAGCCTTACTTAATTCGAAGTAGACAAGAATAGACAACGTCTAACTGACCTCTGTTACATATCACACGAGATGCGGTAGACATAAAGCTAACAAGATTAGTAGTAGTTGATCTCCCGCTCATAAAACCATGCTGATTGGGAATTGCTAAGTTTCGAAATTTGAAGGACAGAAATTGATGGACGACCATTTCAAAGAGCTTAGAGAATGGAGAGAGAAGAGAGATAGGTCTATAGTTACAAATATCACCTTTTTTCCCCGACTTTAAGGCCGGAACAACGGCAGCGACTTTCCACGTTTCAGGAAAGGTCCCCAACCCTAACGAGTTGTTAAATATAGAATACAGTACAGGCGTGAATATGCCGTGATAAGTTTTGAGAATCGCCGAGGGAATGCCGTCGGGCCCTACTGATAATGTTGCTCTCATTTTCTTAATACAGGACCGGACGCACTCCTCATCGACATTAATGCAACTTAACAACTCACCAAACCCATCTAAGTGAGGCAGCGCAGGTGCAGAACGCTGCGTACTATCCCTGTATACTGACCTAAAATGCTCAGCGAATAACTCAGGCACGGACTTCAAGTCGCTCTCGTGATTATCCCGGACAATCTTCGACTTTATATGCCTCCCAGAGCGTGAATTAATGTACCTCCAGAATTTCCTCGGATTATTGACAAGATCTGATTCCACTGAGCAACGATGAGCCTGGCGGTCGCGATCCAGGACCGTCTTACATTGCTTTCTGCAGCTCTTGAAGTCTACCTCCCACTTTAAAAGGCCACTTTTCTTAAACTTCCTGTGCAAAAAGTTCTTTCTTTTCAGTAGTGTTGTTAGTTCATTAGAAAACCAACTAGGAAAGCGAGGTTTCTTTAAAGATCGTAAAGGGATGAATCTGTCGATGGCCTCTTGAATTAATCTCGTGAACAGAGCTACCTGCTCATTTACATCAGAGGATTCCAAGACCGGAGACCAATCAACACTCGAGAGGTGGTGGAACATCCCGATGTAGTCTCCTGATGAAAAATTGTATAAGATGTGTGGAGAAGCCTCAATAGGAGTGCGAATCGAGGAATCAACAAAAGAAAGCACTAAATCAAGGGCAGGATGATACTTATCCAGAGGAACCATAGGAACTACACTTCGGGCTACACGCACGCAGTCCATGTTTGAGAGGCATAAATCTAAAGCATTACCTTGGTGGTTAAGAATATCGTTGTGTTGTGCAAGATCTAAAAAAGAAACAAAGTTTAGGAGGTCGTTGCCTTTCTGCTTGCAATAAAAGTTGTCAGTAGAAACGTTAAACTGCGTCAAGTTGATGCCTGGAGCATTAAAATCACCTAACACTAAGATATTACACCCGTGTAACTCGTTAACGGTGTTCTCTATGCCAGTGA